CCCATAATGAGGAGAAAAATCAATCAATAGAAACAAACACAGAAATGACACAAATGATATATTAGCAGACAACAGTATTAAAATAGTTATCATAACTATATTCCCTATGTTCAAGAAGGTAGCAGAAAGATTGAGCATGTTAAGAAGAGATATGGATGGTATAAAGAAAATTGAAATCAAACATCTAGAGAAGGATAAAAGAAATGTCTGATATGAAAACTACACTGGGTGGAATTAATAACAGATTAGGCACTGCAAAAGAAAAGATCAGTGAACTTGAACACATAGAAATAGAAACTAAACAAATGAAATAGAAAAAAAAACCAACAACCCAAAAAACCCAAAGCAGATCAAACAAAGAAACAAAAAACAGAGCACTGGTGAATTGTAGGAAATCTTCAGACAACTTGATCTGTGTTTAATTGGAGCCCAAAGGAAGAGGTGGGATAAAAATACTTGAAGAAATAATGGTTAAATTTTTTCTAAATTTGGTAAAAATTTGAAACCCACTGATCCAAAAAGCATTGTTAATCCAAAGTGCAAGGGCATAAAGAAAAATCCACCAATGCGTGTCAGTTTTTTAAAGTTTTTATTGGGGAATTGGGGGAGGAGAACAGCGTTGGGGAATCAGGGAAAGGGAACAGACAAGTTTCTGTCCTTTGGTTCTTCAGTCTAGTTGCGGATGACGTCACTTCACTGGCCTATGTTGGTATTATCATTGCGCTCTTCCTGGGTGAGGCAGTCGCTCACCAGCCATTGGACTGCTCACCGCGGCTCACGGCAACTCATGAAAGCTCACGCCAGCTGCCGGCCAACCCCACTGCAGCTACAATGTTGCTGGCGACTCATGGCAGCCCAGCTCCAGGTTGAGCTGTTGTTCACCATCTTAGCTGTAGAGGGTGCAGCATCACTGTCTCTCATGTGGGATCTGAACCGGGGCGCTGCTGCTCAGAACTGGCGTCCCAAGCCAACTCCTAACCAATGCGCCACTAGGCCAGCCCCACCAAGGCATATCATGATTAAATTACTTACAAACTGTGCTACAGAGAAAATCTTAAGACAAACTGAGGCACACGACATACAGAGGAGCAAAGATTAGTATGCCAGCCAATTTCTCATCAGAGACAAAACAAGCAAGAAGATGCTGGAGCAACATCTTTAAAGTATTGAAAGAAAAAAAATCTGTCAACATAGAATTCTATACTCAGAAAAATTTCTTAGAAAAACAAAGGCAAAATAAATTTTTTTTCAAGTTTACAGAAATTGCCACCATACCTGCACTACAAGAGACGTTAAAGAACATCCTTCAGACAGAAGGAAAATGATACCAGATGGACATATGTATTTACACAAAGGAAGGAAGAATATCAGAAATGATAAATAAGTGGGCAAATGAAAAAGACTTTAAAAAAACCCTTATTTTAATAACCTCTTTGAAAGATAATTGTTTAATATGAAGCTAATAACAACATTTTGTGGGGCTAATAACATATTTAGAAGTAAAACTTCTGACAACAACACCAAAAAGATTAAGAGGGGCAACAGTGTACTTTGTAAGGTACTCGTACTATACATTAAGAGGTATAATTATTCTTGATGGTAGATAGTGATACATTAAAGATGTATACGCCAAATCCTAAAACAACCACTAAAAACAAACAGAGGTATAGCTGGCAAACTAACAAAGAAGATAAAACAGAAAAATAAAAAATCAGTTAATCCAAGATAAATCAGAAAAATGAACAAAGAACAGATCAAACAAATAGAAAACAAATAGCAGATTATTTGTTTAATCACATTAAATACAAATAATCTAAATACCCCATTTAAAAGCCAAAGATTGTCCAATTGGGTTAAAAAGCAAGACCTAACTATATGCTGCCTACAAGAAATTCGCATTATATGTACGTAAGAAAATAGTTTAAAAGTTAAAAGGATGGGAAATAATATACCTTGCTAACACTAATCTAAAGAAAGTTGGAGTGGTTATATTAACACTAGAAAAAAAAAAAAGATTTCAGAGCAAAGAATATTACCAAGTATAAAGAGGTTTATTTCATAATGATAAAGGGATCAATTTGTCAAAAGGACATTGCAATCCTAAACACTTACGCATTTAATAAGAAAGCTTAGAAATACATTATAAAAAATTAATAGAAGCAAAAGAATTAGGCAAAGTCACAATTACAGTCAGAGATTTCAACACCACTCTCTTAGTAATCAATAAAACAAGACAGAAAATCAATATGATATAGAAGATTTGGGGAACATTATCAATTACCATGACCTAATTACATTTATGCAGCATTTTACCCAATAACAGAAGAATACACATTCTTTTCATGTACAGAAGGAATATTCACAAAGATGAATCATATTCTGGGCTATAAAACAATTCTCAAAAACTTTTAAAGGATTCATCCATAGCAAGTCTGTATCTGACCATGATAGAATTAAATTTGAAATCAATAACAAAAGAAAATCAGGGAAATCCTCAACTGTGTCAAAACTAAGTAACACTATTTAAATAACCTATGAGTGAAAAATGGATATGTTTATTCTCTTTCTTGTAGTGATGGTTTTATTGGTGTAAACATATGTTAAAATTCATCAGATTGTATACTTTAAATAGGTACAGTTTAATGTATTCTAATTATATCTCAATAAAGCTGTTAAAAAAGACATGTACTCAAGGGTTGAGAGTAATAGTAACCATAATTTTTATTGCTTCATCAATGATATTCTTGTGAGACTGGTTCTTTCCCTCCCCTCCCCTCCCCTCCCTATCCCTATCCCTTCTCTCTCTCTCTCTCTCTCTCTCTCTCTCTCTCTCTCTCTCTCTCTCTCTCACCCAAGCATGGCAGTAAAGAATGCAATGACTGCAAGTACAGTTTTGTTTTTGTAATAGTACACTTTTGTGTCCTGTTTTGGTAAGTGCTAAGGTGCCAGAGTTTTACCCATCATACCTTTTGCAACATCAGTGCAAAATTAGTACAGTAAGAAAAAGCAAGTCTTACTTCCATATTATTATAAAAATTGATTTGACCTTGCAGACATCCAAAAGGGTAATCTTAGGGAACCCCAAGGGGGGTCCATGGATCACATTTTGAGAACTGCTGTTTTAATAGAAATTTCTAGTCATTACTGCTTTAGTTCAACGGTGTCACTTTACAGATGGGACTAGATGTATTAAAACTTTGCCAGGGCAACTGCATGGGGGAGATCTTTTTTAGCAGTTGGGTTCTTAATGTGCTTCAAATCACAGTATAGAATCTATATGATTATAAAGATTATAACCACTCCACTTGTGACTAGGGCTATCACTGCGTACACACACAAAAAATTCTTTTTCCATAATGAAAAACAGGGCCTGGACTTGTTTAATTAAATGTAATACTCATGGGTCATTTCCATAGGAAGAATTTGAAGAAAGGAAAAGTTGCAGCAAGGAACAAAAATAGCAGATATAAGGGATTTCACAAAGTTTCCAGAACGAAGGAGGTGAGACAAGAAGAATGAGTGAAGGAAAAAGGGAAGGATGTTTAATGTGTAAGGTGCAAGAAAAGAAGGTAGGGATACATATGAACAAGTAAAGAGTTGTGTTGGATTTGTAGATTTATGGAAGGTTGTCAGAAAAGCCCTCACGTATAAAAAAACAATTTACTAAAATCATGAAGCTTCACTTACTATGTAAAATATTTTAGATTTGTACAAGATACGTCATACAAATGCATTACTGGTGGATACAGAGATGCACTCCTTAGAGACCCCCTCACTGCCCCCCAATTCAGGGAAGGACTCTGCTCCTGCTGTTGGAGTGCTGTTGACAGACAGCCTCTAGCTGTCAGGTCCTTAGGCTTCTAAGAGCTGCTTCCAGGAGGTCACCCCCATTGAGGTGAGGGTATAAAGCCGCAGCCATTTTGACTGCCCATGGAACAAACAACACTGACAGGCAATTTTAGCTCCAGGATTCCCCCATTGGGGTTGGGTGAGGCTGCAGAAGGGGGCCCACTTCCCTGCTAACTTTGCTCTCTGCCCAGTCCTGTTCCTCCCTCTCTCTCCCTCCCTCAGGGGCTTGTCCCAGGGGCACTCCCTAATACACATCCTGAATGCTCAACTCTGTCTCAGAGTCTGCTTCCTGTAGATCCCAAAGGGCAACAGCATCTTATGGACTCCAAAATAATCAAAAGTGGAGAACCCTTGGGAATGGAAAATCATCATCCAATTATGTGTTAACATTTTAACTCAAGCATGTTCTTATTTCTTATTTTGAATATTATCATTCGAAATACTGAGCATGATATATCTTTAACATTTTGTTTCATGTAGGTTTGCTATTTCCACCTTCCCTCTCTTATAGGAATCATATTGTGGAAAGGAAAAGGGAATAGGGTAAGAAAAACAGGCTATGTGTTACCCAGACACTTAGGAAACCCATGATTTCAAGGCTGGTGTAAGCAACGAGAGGGGAAATATATTGGGAGGTGTGATAGTGGTTTTTATTCTGAATATTGTAACAATAGAAAGTTTTGAAGTGGTCAGATTATCAGAAGAAGTGTCCATGAATATAATAAAGAAGCTATTTAATGTTGTTTAAGCTGGAAGATTCAAACTGTCACTCAAAACTATCAGACATGAATAGGGTAATTCTGAACATCAGGGAAGTAGGTACTTCCATCCCGTCTTCCCCTGTAGCTCCCGAGGAGGGCTGAACAGTGTCTTCCCAGGCCAGCCCTCTCATTTTAAACTCACTCTAATAGCCAAGCCTAAGAAAATAGAGTCAGTGAGCCTCCTGGCTGACTCCATTACCGTCAGACCTTTGCTCCCTGGGAAATAGGTCTATTTCAGCTGTCATTTTTCCAGGATCTGTTACTAAACGATGACGGCAGGCCATGCCCTAATCCTCACTGTGGAAGAAAAAGAGGGTGGTAAAGGCATTGTCCTGACAACTTAGACCAGAAACCTACAGATAAAATTAGGTGTTTTATTTTTTTTTCTAGGATTATCTTGATAACAGTGATCTTTGATGTTACCAAGGAAACATCGTTTGGGGCATGCATTGGAGAAGAAGACTGCCTAAAGAGCCACTGTGAACATTTTAGAATTCATTTATTTCAAATAATTGCTTCAACCACACTTCTCAGCTGGGGAGTATGATAGTCTGTCTCCTATACGACAAGGTAACTATTCGTGAGAAAAAAGAGAAAAGATGTGATGGGCTGTTATAAAGGAACTACTGTGAGGGCTCCAGTTTAGGCTTTGTATGGAGGCGGGAAGTCTCAGTTTCCTCATCTGTAAAATGGGGTTGATATCTGCCGCACATGGTTGTGAAGATTAAATGAGGGAACAACAGAAAAGCGCCCAGGACAGTGCCCGTGGAGAAGTATCAGTAAATGTTATTCCCTGTGGGAAAAAGAGCTGAGGGAAAACGCTTCATGGCCCCACAGGGTCTGATGAAGCCTCCCTCTCCTTTCTATTCCGTTATGGTATTGGAGATGATAAAAATGCCTCTTCTGTGTCTCTTCTTCCTTCCTCTTTTCCTCTCCAGGACAAGGAAGTGGCCATCTCTGTTCCCTTAGATTTGGAAGCTTGTGCCTCCCAGGACAGCCCAGTCCC